GCCGCCGCCGCCGCACAGCAAACTCCACCCACCCGCCCTGCGGCCGCGGCGATGACGCGCTCTGGCTGTCTGTCCCCTGAGGAGGGCCGGAGAAGAGGGAAAAGAAGAGCAGGGAGAAGGATCGGCGGAGAGCCCCGGGCTCGCTGTCGGAACAGGCCGGACCGATGTGTCCGCGCCCGCGTAGCCGACGCAGGGTGGCAGCGCGCTTGGGAACAGTAGGGCAAAAAAAAAAAAAAAAAAAAAAGACTGTGGTCCCCAGCGCCTGCCATTTCTTAAGTTAAGGTTTGAGAAACGTGACAGGACTTAAGCAAAGAGCTTTAAATCCGGAGAGGCTTGGTGCGAACCTTAAGTTCTGCCATTTAAATTCTGTTGCTGTCCTCTCCAGTGGCAATCTTTATATCACCCTAGAGGGTAGATGAAAGGATTAGGGATGCTGGATGGAGGTGCTTAGCAGTGCTTGGCTAGCAGGTCTTCGACAGCGTTAGTCGCCCCGAGACAAGGACGTCCGGGCAACAACCCAAGGAGAGGGGAGGTCGCCCGCTACTTACACTGGGCTGGGGGAGGGAAAGTACCTTCCTCGGCACCACCCTCGACATCGAGCCCCAGGGAGCCGTGCACAGTATAGCGCCAGCCCGACCTAATGGGCGACAGGGCGTGGGGGAGGGGCGGACGAGGGACCAGTAAGGATGGTCAACCCTAGGAATGGGTACCCTGGGCCTTCACCTTTCTAGCACCTCGCCCCGCGTCCTCGGGCATCTAGGAAGCGCCCCCAGGTCCACCGCGGGGGCACAGCTATGGGTTCTGGGGGTGGAGTCCTGCAGCCCGGAAATCCCAGAGTCGCCATGTCGCTTTTGTCACTTCGGGATGGATTAGGAGGGTGACTAGTCCAAATCTAGGCGCAGACGCTAAATTACTCTTCCCTTGGAGCCGCAGTGCCGGCATTTACCTTGGTATTGCCGGGCAAGGCCTGTCCGGTAAGGTCCCCGACGCCCACCCCTCGCCCTGCCCCCGCGGACTTGTGGGAAATGTAGTCCCTGCACCGCGGCGCTTCTGGACTCCGCCCTCGGGCGGCCCACGTTCCTCCCACCTGTTCCGGTTCGGTTTCTCCGTCCCGCAGACGCTGGAGGCGTAGCGACGGAAATCCCGCCTTCCCACTGGCTTGCACTTTGTGGTCCCTGAAAATATCGCGTCGGCTTCCAGCCAAGAGGGGCAGATCCTCCGTGGTGTCTTTCAGAGGTATCCTCGTGTGACTGGACTTGGATCGGAGAACTTGGGGTTTAATTTCTTGCTCCTGATTCTGACTCTGAGGTCGTGTGCTGTTATATTACCTCAGGTAGTAAAGACTACGGCTTACTGCGTGCCTGATACTTGCCAAGGGTATATGTATTCCAAAAACGCTGTAGGCTGTTTACGAAAGTGGAAATTAAGGCATGTTAAGTGATTTGCCCAAAGTCCAGTAGCACTAAGTGGGGGAGTAAGTAGCAGAGCCTGGAGTCAGTTAGTCAAAAACACTCTTGCTTAAAATCTTGAACTTTCTACAGGACACCGAAGTGTAAGAGACTAACAGTTTTTTCTAATTTATTCAAACCAGGGAGATTTTATGTGTTTAAAATCTACTGCTTCCTCTTTTTGTTTTTATCTATTTTTACTTTTAATATTTTTATTCATTATTTTATTTTGGTGGGAGTGGGGGAGGTAATTAGGTTTATTTATTTTTAGAGAGGGTACTGGAGACTGAACCCAGGACCTCGTGCCTGCTAAGCATGCACTACCACTTGAGCTATACCCTCCCCCCTCCTCTACTCTTGTTTTGCCCTTTTATTAGAGACCCTTTTCAGTTCCAGTCAGTCTTGAATACTTACAAAATGACACGGGTATTCATCTCATGTCCAGGACTTCCTTTTGACAACTCTTCGTGAAGCTTATGCAGTAAGCCGATTTACAGTATACAAGTCTTTAGGAAATGATGAATGAGAATTTTTCTGCCAGTGATTTCTGTTGTATTTCCGTTTGCTGGTAGTTTGGATTTCCAATCAAGGAGAACAGCATAAGGAGAGAGGGCATTGAGGTTATTCAGGTAAAGGTATTTAAAAAATAGTTTCTTCATGTAGCTGTGCTGGTGTAGGTGTGGTAACTCCTACTGAAATGTAATGATGAATATAATGGAATGAATCAGTTCCTAAGGTGCCTTCCCATTATGTAACCCTGTAGTTCTACCTAAAATATATATCATGGAACACTAATGTCTTTTAGTACTTTCAGTACAGTGCCTACTATGAAGCCTTTTCTGAAATTGAGATATATTGACATAAAACAATATATTATTAATTTCATGTGTATAACATAATAATTTGGTATTTGTATGGATTATAAAGTGATCCCACAATAAGTAAAGCTTTCTTGATCATGTAGTTCTAGAGATGTTTTAATTTAGAATGGGCTCGCTTCTTACACATTACCATAGAAAAGGTAAAGTAGTATATTTAAGGGTTTTAAGAGATATAAAAGGAAAGAATATAAAAATTACTAAAAAAGGATTCCTTTAGATGCTCCTTCCTTTGCAAACATTGTAAAAGGCCTATTATGTCTCATGTATTGTAACTGAAGTTTCAGGGAACTCAGTCTAGTGTGATAAACAGACATGTAATATAATAATTACAACACAATGCAGAAATGTTAAAATGGAAAGATATAAAAAGGGCTGCATTATGTGTAGCAAAAGACCACTACAAAAGTGTTCATAACAGCACAATTTGCTAACAGCCCAGACCTGGAAGCAACTCAGTGAGCATTGACAGTGGAACAGTTATATATGGAGTACTGAAGAGCAATGAGAACAAAGGAGCTACTGTTCAACATCTTCTATGAATTTCAAAGTCATAAGGAAAAAGAAACTAGACTCAGAACATATTGTGTCCAGAAGGAAACTTAATTTAAAAAGACGCATGCACCCCAATGTTCATAGCAACGCTATTTACAATACAATAGCCAAGACATGGAAACAGCCGAAATGTCCATTGACAGATGACTGGATAAAGAAGTTGTGGTATATTTATATAAAGGAATACTCTTCAGTTATAAAAAATGATAATATGGATGTCCCTGGAGAATGTCATTCTAAGGGAAGTAAGCCAGAAAGAGAAAGAAAAATACCATATGATATCACTTATATGCGGAATCTAGGGAGGAAAAAAAAGGCAAACGAACTTATTTACAAAACAGAGACTCACAGGCATAGATAACAAACTTATGGTTACCAGCAGGGGGAGAGGGTGGGAAGGGATAAATAGAGAGTTCGAGATTTGCAGATACTAACTAATATATATAAAATAGACAAACAACAAGTTTATACTGTATAGTACAGGGAACCATATTCAATATCTTGAAGTAACTAATGGTGAAAAAAGAATATGAAAACGAATATATATATGTTCTGATATGACTGAAGTATTGTGCTGTACACCAGAAACTGACACATTGTGAACTGACTATACATCAATAAAATATATTTTTTAAAAAAACATATTGTATGATTCCATTTATGTAAAGTTCAAAAACAGGCAAAACCAGTGTATGTTCAAATTCAGGCTGGAAGTATAGTTTTTGGAAATGGAAAGAGGGAACTTTGGGGTTCTAGTATTGTTCAGTTTCTTGAATTAGGTGCTTGATACAGGAGTATGTTCACTTTGTGTAACTATTGAAATGCATCACTAAGATTTGTTTATTTTTCTTTGTGTATGTTATACCTTGTTAAAACTGACATTAAATAAACAAGTGCCAAGGGAACAAGAAAGCCTGATTAAATCTATGTGACAGATGAGGAAGATGTCACAGAGGAAGTGACTTTTTAGCTGAGATGGTATTTACAAGCAGAGAAAATGGGAGAAAGCCATTATAGGTATAGGTATTAAAGCTAAAACAGGTGGTGATCATTTTGTAATGTGTTGAAATATTGGATCACTATGTTGTACATCAGGAACTAACATAGTGTTGCAGGTCAATTGTACTTAAAAAACAAACAAACTCATAGAAAAAAAGATCAGATTTGTGGTTTCCAGAGGTGGGGTGTAGGAGGAAGGGGAGTTAGATGAAGGTGGTCAAAAGATACAAATTTCCAGTTATAAGATAAATACTAGGGATGTAATGTGCAATACAATTAATATAACTAACACTGCTGTATGATATGTATGAAAGTTGTTAGGAGAGTAAGTCCTAGGAGTTCTTATCACAGGGAAAAAATACTTTTTTTCCTTTTTCTTTTATGTTCACTAAATTTACTGAGATAAGTTTCATGGTGTATATAAATCATTATGCTGTACACCTTAAATTTACTGCAGTGCTGTATGTCAATTATATCTCAATAAAACTGGAGGAAAAAAAGCCAAAACATATGTGATAAGCAGCAAGTTTGTTCATGTAATGGGACCATAGATACGAGGGGAGGTGGGTCAGAGCACTGGATGAAAGGTCAAAGCTCTGGTTGAGGCTGACTTAAATGTCATATATGCCATGCAAAGGAGTTTGTACTTTGTCATAAATACACAAAGATTATTTTTGTTATCAGTTTGATGAGGAAAGCAGAACCACAATATTGATATGGTATAAGACATTAATTACAGAGATTAGAGTTTACATAATTGTGGGAGCTGATAAGGAGGCCTTGGAAGGCTATTGCCTGTTTCTGGACACTAAAATGGCAATAGGTCAGCATATCTTGTAGTCAGGAACTGGTGTGAAGAATGGAAGAGCCAGGGGGAGGGTATAGCTCAAGTGGTAGAGCATGAGCTTAGCATGCATGAGGTTCTGGGTTCAATCCCCAGTACCTCCTCTAAGAATCAAAATAAATAAATAAACCTAATTACCTCCCCCTCACCAAAAGAAAAAAAAAAGAATGGAAGAGCAAACTGAAACCCCTAACCACAAACTGGATCCTACATTATCCCTCAATGCTTCTCAACTCAATGA